AGCAAGTATATCGCCTATGCTTGTCATATTGGAACCTCAACATTGGTCAAAAAACCCCATGGTTCAGGCCCAGAGATGGTATTACATACACCCTATAAGTTCTTCAGATGATTCTATTCTCATTTCTCTGCTGGGCCCTTTTAGTATTCCTAATAGATGTATATTTGAGTTTCTCCATGAATCATGTGTCTCTTAATTTTTTAATATTCATCAACTCTTCATCTCTTCATTCTGATTTCTCAGTGATATCTTCAACCCCATCTACTCCTTCACTCTTTTGTTTGTCAGCTGGGTCCTTTCATAGATGTAGCTCTTCTATTGAGTATATTTCAACAATATATTTTGTTTTCAAGATTATGATCGGGTCTTTTAGATTGTTTTGCCTATTTTATACCCTATTCCTTTATCTCCTCAGGAATAATAAATATAATCATTTTTAAAGGTTTTTTTAGGGGAATGAGATTATTTTCCATTTGTTTGTTTTTATAAATTCTTCTATTTGGACTATTTCCTCAGGTACAAATAATTTTTCATCTTTCTCTAACACTTGATAAATTTCGCATATGAACTCCTTTTTTGGAATGAGATGGCTTCCTGATGAGGCAATTTCAGGATGGCTGACCCCTCTTCACTGCAGCAGGCCTGGCTACAAGCTGGCATTCTTGCTGATGCCTCCTTTAGGCTTCTGGGCCCCTCCAGGTAGTATGGTTCCTTTGCAAGTCTCTATCATTTGACTAAGAATGTGAAAGGTAGACTAGTGTAAATCTTTATTTGACTCCTTCAAATACTAACACACCATCACATCTTAAGATTATTGGTGAAAATAGGTGTTTTCTGCAACCTGAGGGATACTAAAGAGAAATGGAGGAATGCATTCCCCATTCATATCTATTGAACAGAGTATACAAAAAAGGGAAAATGGAAACTAAATCTTTGGTCCATAAACTATATAACTGACTACTGTATCACAAATAATCCGTAATTTCTTCAGCAGGAGGCTAAGATCTAAAGTCCAAAATGATTGTGCTTCTTTTTTCTCCCATTAGTTTTCTACAAAAAAAAAGTAGAATGGAGCTAAAATAGAGCTTTTTTAAAATATAATGTTGACTCACTTGTAAGAAATATTGGATCCTAGGACAAAAATCATATTTTTTGAAGTCAGATGTGTGGAGGTGCTCTATCACAATAGGCATATGGAAAAATTAGAGTGCCTTGGCCAGGTTCAATATAAGATTCTCTTACCGAATTTGTTTTTAATTGAACCCTTACTTGGGAATAAATGTTCATGCAAAAAAACAAAAAACAATACAAAAGACTGCTGAGAAAACTCAAGTGCCTGAGTAGATATTTCTAAACCATAACTTTGGTATTTTAATGTTCAACACAGAATTAGAAGCCCCATATATCTGCTGAAATGTAGTATTTTTCAACAGAAATAGGTGATTATTAATAAGAGCTAACTCAGTAAACATATTTTAATCTCACTAAACAGGTTTATTTTAGTACTACGAAATTTTACCTTTACCACAACCAAGATATCAGATCACCATGGATTTTGAATTTTTAAAAATTTCTGTTTATTTTACTTTACAATGTAATTATTGTACATATACATACAGTATTATATTATGTAAATATACAGTATTATATTACATACAGTATTATAATAGTTTCAGGTGTACAATATAATGATTCAACAAACTTATGCATTACTTGGTGCTCATCATGATAAGTGTTCTCTTAGTCCTCTTCACCTATTCCACATGCCCTCTGGCAACTACAAGTTTGTTCTGGTGTGGTTAAGATTCTGCTTTTTCGTTTGTCTCTTTGTTTGTTTATTTTGTTTCTTAAATTCCACACATGAATGGATCATACAGTATTTGTCTTTCTCTGACTGCCTTATTTCACTTAATTATTATTTTATCCTCTAGATCCATCCATGTTGTTGAAAATGGCAAGATTTCATTCTTTTTGTGGCCAAGTAATATTCCATTATATATGGCACATCTTCTCTATCCATTCATCCATTAATGGACACTTGGGTTGCTTCCATATCTTGGCTACTGTAAATAATATGCAATAAATAGCAGGGTGTGTATCTTTTCAAATTAGTATATTTTGTTTTCTTTGGGTAAAATACCCAGTAGTAGAATTTCTGGATCATATGGTGATACTATTTTTAATATTTGAGGAACATCCATACTGCTTTTTACCATAGTTGGACCAGTTCACATTCCCACCACCAGTGCACAAGGAATCCTTTTTCTCCACATCTTCTTTTGTTTTTTTATTATAGAAATTCTGACAGGTGTGAGGTGATACCTCATTGTAATTTTGATTTGCTTTTCCCTGATGGTGAGTGATATTAAGCATCTTTTCATGTATTTATTGGCCATCTGTATGTCTTCTTTGGAAAAATGCTTGTTCATGTCTTCTGCTCATTCTTAATTGGATTATTTGGGGGGTTTTTTGGTGTTCAGTTGTATAAGTTTTTTATATATATTTTGGCTATTAGCCCCTTATTGGATATATCATTTGCAAATATCTTCTCCCATTCAGTGGGTTATCTTGTTGTTTTGTTGATGGTTTCCTTCTCTGTGCAAAGCTTTTTATTTTGATGTACAGAGTCAATCATTCAATTTTGCTTTTGTTTTCCTTGCCAAAGGAGAAATATTTAGAAAAATGTTTTTATAGCTGATTTCAAGATTAGTGGCTGTATTTTCCTCTAGGAATTTTATGGTTTCAAATGTCACATTTCGGTGCTTAATCCATCTTGAGTTTATTTTTGTGTACTGGATAAGAAAGGGGTCTAGTTGCATTCTTTTGCATACAGCTGTCCAGTTTTACCAATATCATTTGTTAAAAAGACTTCCTCCCATTGTATATACTTGCCTCTTTTGTCATAGATTAATTGACCATATAATAGTGGGTTTCTTTCTGGCTCTCTAATCTGTTCTTTAATTTTAAATAATTTAATTTTATTGCTTTTGTGCTTTAACTTCCATATGGGTTTTATAAGCAATTAATCTACTTTTATTATGTTTGTATGTATCTGTGAAATATTTTTCTTTCTTACTTTTATTTCTCTTTATGATATTTCCTTTCCACTCAAAGAATCCCCTTTAATTTAAGGGTGTGTTAGTGGTGATGAATTCCTTTAATTTTTGTTTGTCTGGGAAACTCTTAATCTCCACTTCTTTCTGAATGATAGCCTAGACAGAAAGGATAATTTCGGTTACACATTTTTACCATTTAGCACTTTGACTATATCATGCCTCTTCTTTCAGGCCTGCAAAGTTTTTGCTGAAAAATCAGCTGATAGCCTCATAGGGTTTCCATTGTATATTACTGGGGGGAGTTGTTTTGTTTTGTTTTTCTCTTACACCTTTTTTTTTTTTTTAAGAGAGAGAGAGAGATGGGGCAGAGAGAGAGAGGGAGAGGGAGAGAATCTCCCTTTTAGTTTTTTTTAATTTTTAATTTTTTTAAGAAACATATAATGTATTTTTATCCCCAGGGGTACAGGTCTGTGAATCACCAGGTTTACACATTTCACAGCACTCATCATAGCACACACCCTCCCCAATGTCCATATCCCCACCATCCTCTCCCGTCCCCCCTCCCCCCAGCAACCCTCAGTCTGCTTTTTGAGATTGAGTCTTCTATGGTTTGTCTCCCTCCCGATCCCATCTTCTTCCATTTTTTCTTTACCTAACCCCCAAACCCTCCGCATTGCATCTCCACTTCCTCATATCAGGGAGATCATATGATAGTTGTCTTTCTCCGATTGACTTATTTCACCAAGCATAATACCCTCTAGTTCCATCCACGTCATCGCAAATAGCAAGATTTCATTTCTTTTGATGGCTGCATAGTATTCCATTGTATATATATACCACCTCTTCTTTATCCATTCATCTGTTGATGGACATCTAGGTTCTTTCCATAGTTTGGCTATTGTGGACATTGCTGCTATAAACATTTGGGTGCACGTGCCCCTTCGGAGGACCATGTTTGTATCTTTAGGATATATACCTGTTGGAGGCCACAGCATGGTTGGAGTCATGGATCAAACCAGGCCCTGGCTTGTGTCTCCTTCAAAGTCCGGACACCTTGACAAGGGGTTAAGGACGGGAAAGTTGAGTAACACTGAGAAAAGGGTCTGTGCTATGTGTCGTGCACTCGCCTACGTGACTTCCCACACACTCTCTCTACAGAAGGGAACAATGTGGTCAGGGTCATGAATTCTTAGCTGGTCCTTGTTATTCCTGTACCTCCCATAACCCACTCCCTGGTTGATTGTCTTGCTAATGGCTTTAGCCGAGACTACCTGGCATCATGAGGTTTGCTTGTAGTTAATGTAAACTTGTTATAGAAACTTGCAGTCATCTGACTAGGTTCTGATGTATTACTCCTTCTATTGTGGTCTGCCTTATAAATGATTGTAAGATGTGGAATAAAATCGGCACTGTTGGACATCCTCTTCAATGTCCCCCATCTCTTTGTCTCTTAATTTCTTTTCACCATCCTCTTACCCTCATGTTTTCCTGGTCAATTTGTCACGCTGGCTGTGACATATACCCAGTAGTTCAATCGCTGGGTCATATGGTAGCTCTATTTTCAGTGTTTTTTTTTTTTTTTTTAAGATTTTATTTATTTGACAGACAGAGATCACAAGTAGGTGGAGAGGCAGGCAGAGAGAGAAGGAAGCAGGCTCCCAGCTGAGCAGAGAGCCTGATGCGGGGCTCGATCCCAGAATCCTGGGATCATGACCTGAGACAAAAGCAGAGGCTTTAACCCACTGAGCCACCCAAGCACCCCTATTTTCAGTTTTTTGAGGAACCTCCACACTGTTTTCCAGAGTGGTTGCACCAGCTTGCATTCCCACCAAAGTGTAGGAGGGTTTGAGAGGGAGAGAATCTTAAGCAGGCTCCACACCCAGCACAGAGTCCAATGTGGGTTTTGATCTGACAACCCTGAGATAATGATCTGAGCTAAAATCAAGTGATGGATGCTTAACAGATTGAGCCACCCAGGCACCCCCATTCTCTTGATGCTTTAAAATTTAGTAGTATGTTACGATGAGTATATGAAGATCAGATAGAGCTTTGTCTCTGCATCTGGACATACGTGTCTGGTCTGGAACAGATCCACTTCCTCTCTGTGTAATGCCTAGCACTGCTGGCACCTTTGTCATTCAAATAGGCACATTCTCCTCCTCCTCTGATAGGAAAACTGCAATGGAAGAAGCAAAGTCAATCAGCTGGTCACCAGATATTTCTCCAAAAGCAGAGAGAATAAAGATAAGAAAACAAGGAAACTGACATTAAATCAGCCTCTAAATGTAAGATACACTATACATGTCATCTTTTAATACTAAAAATTACCCTCTGAGATCTATATCATTTCTTTTCATGGACAAAAACAACAACAACCAAACAAACCAAAACAACAAAATTTACCAAGATTCCTATAACAAGTAAAACTAAGATTCATACCTAAATCAATGAAAATATAGGGCCCATTCTATTCTCACCTTCTTCACTTTGAGAAAGAGAAGAGGGAAGAAATGCTGTTATATTGCAGGTGATTTTTGTTGTTGCTGCTATTCTTGGGACTTTATTTTCTCTTGTGGTGTTCATCAGCATTTAAATGGCCTGCCACGGACATCTCAGTCAGCATTTAGACTATAAGTTTTTCCTCTGTACTGTGTGAAATTGTTATCATGTGACCTGATTTGCCTATGGTTGAGACATGCTAGCCCTTAATAAAATATATTTTTCATTTCTGTGTGATGAACAATTTTCAGCAACTGAATAGTTAACAATATATTTGCTCCTTTAAACACTTAAAGAATTAGGTGAAGTGAATATTATTATTTCAGTATTGCTGAGGAAGAAGTAAAGGTTAAAACGAAATATTTAACAAGTTTCCACAAGGTGCTAGGCACTACACATACAACAGTGTATAAACATAAGTTCTAACTCTTAAAACTTAGTATCTGTCCAAGATCAAAAAGCTAGTAAGTAAGAACTAGTTTTCAAAACCATGAATGTCCTACCTAGTGCCCTTTTCACCAAAAAAAGTGATATTTCCAATGCTGAAGACTTTTTCATAACCTCATAAAGCAACTTTTCAAAACTTCCTCATGTGCTCAGACAAGAAAACATTTAGCAGAACTGTCTGAATCCAAGTCTTCCAGCATTATCTGAAATTTTCCCAGTAATATAAAGACCCGATAGATATAAGATTGAGATTAAATTTGACAATGCCAAACTATACTTGTGCTGACCATTATATTTATGATCTTGTAATGGATGCCATTACCATCACTCATCCCTATATAAATGGTTGAACACTGATGCAGTGATAGTTTAATATAATTTAACTTGCATTTATATAAGATTTTAAAGTTTAAGTAGTGCAGCCATATACATCAAAATCTCTGATTCTCATATCAACCCTGTGAGATCAATAGAGCAAATACAATTAATTTTGTTGTAGAGGTAAGCAACATACTTAAAGATAGTGTGTAGTTTGCTCAACGTGAAAGAGTTGGTCAGTGACACACAGAAGGCTGTTGTTAAGTTCATCATTCTACCATGCCACATGGTATTGGTTGGAGGAGGTTTCAAAACCTCTACCACCTACAATTTTTCACTTTATTTCTTTATAACTAATCCTAAAATAAAAATTCTTAGAGGATATAACTGGAGAATACAATTGATTTCATGCAAAGTAAATTCAAATACAAATAGTGCTATCATATCTTTCAGAACTTACCAGTTGCTCCATGCAGTACCGTTTATCAATTTCCATGGTTGGCCTAGTTCTCTGCTGATCCCAATCCAGTGGTCATAAGGGCCTTTATACCTCAGTAGGAAATTCTTTTAGAAAACAAAGATGATATGCATTAACCTGTCATTATCTGACCTCTCCCAGAAGAAGTGTTGCTTCTATGCTATGTTCTTTTTTCTTTTTTTTAATATTTTATGTATTTATTTGACAGAGTGAGACACGACAAGCAGGGGGTAGTGGCAGAGGGAGAGAGAGAAGCAGACTCCCTGCTGAGCAGGGAGCCTGATGTGAGGCTCAATTCCAGGACCTCAAGATTATGACCTGGGCCACCCAGGAGCACCTGTATGCTATATTCTTGACTGCTCTTATGATTTTCTCCTTTTTAATTTTATATTGTTTTATAATACATAGAGACTAGATATGCTACAGCAACATACACACACAAATATTAAAACTAAGAGAAATTGCTGATAATTTGTTCACTTATAATTCAGTATAGTTCTACTTTGTATTAATAATCCACAATTTGTTTATCTATTCTATTATTGGTTTCCACCAGGATTATTTCAAGTTTGAAGTTATTATGAATGTTGTAATGACATTCTTTGCACCTGTCCTGGAATGGATGATCAGGCCACAGTGGATACTTACTGTCAATTTTACTAAATGACACCAAACTCTTTTTTGATGTCATTGCAAGAAATTACACTCACACCAGCATTATAGGCCTGTTTTCCATGCTATACATCCTTGTTAACACTGAGTATTTTTTTATTATTGCAAGTATTAATTTCACTATAATTAAATGTATGATTTTCCCTTATGATTAGTGGATTAGTGATTTAATGACTTCTTGGGAAAATTTTTACTCTTTTGAAGTCATAAACATATTTATTTTTCTTTTCCTTGAGGTATCCAGTTGGGATACTGACTTTTGATATTTCTTTTTTTTTTTTTTCTTTAAGGTATGCATTTACAGCTTTGAATTTCCTTCTTATATTGCTTTTACCACATATCATGAATTTTGGTATGTTGTGTTTTCATTTGTCTCAAGGTATCTTCTAATTTCCCTTGTGATTTCTTTTTTGTTCACTGGATATTTAACAGTGGGTTGTTTAATTTCAACATATGTGTGCATTTTCCAGTTTTCTTTCTGTTGTTGATTTCTAGTTTCATTCCATTGTGACTGCAAAAAGAACCTTATATGATTTCAATCTTTTCAAATTTACTAACTTGTTATGTGGCCTATCACATGATCGATCCCAAAGAAACATTCCATGTGCACTTGAGAAGAATATGTGTTCTGTTGTTGGGAGGAGTTTTCTGCATGTCTTCTATATCTAATTGGTTTGCAGAACTGTTCAACACTTCTTTTTCCTCACTATTCTTGTCTTTGGTTGTTTTACCCATTATTGAATGTAGAATAATGAAGTCTTCAGCTATTATAATAGAACTATTTCTCATTTCACTTCTGTCAATTGTTCCTTCATATATTTGGGGACTGTGTTATTAGGGTACCACATGTTTATAATTGTTAGATCTTACTGTATCAAAATTTGTATCAAGATATAATATCCTTCTTTGTGTCATAAATTTTTTTGCTTTTGTCTATTTCATCCAACAAGAATATAGTCACACAGCTCTATTTTGGTAACTATTTGCATGTAGTATCTTTTTCCATCCTTTCACTTTAATCTTCCTTGTGTTTTTATATCTATGGTGAGTCTCTGAGAGAGAACATACAGATGGATCTCATTTTGTTTTCATCCAACTGCCAGTCTCCACCTTTTAATCAGATAGTTTCATCCATTTACATTTAATGTGATTACCCATAAAGAAGGACTTGCTTCTACCATTTATCTTCTTTTTTTTTTGAGTAGGTTCCACTCCCAGTGAGGAATCCATATTTATTTTTTATACCTCTTATATGTTCTTTATTCTCTAATTCCTCTATTATTGCATTTTTTATTGAGTTGAGCTTTTGTAAGTGCCATTTTTATTCCCTCTTTCTTTTTCCGTATGGATTATAGTAATTTTATTAGTGGTTACCTTGGGGGTTGCAATTAAACTTAAACTTATAACAATCTAGTTTATAATATGAACTTGGTTTTTTTTTAAGATTTTTATTTATTTATTTGACAGACCACAAGTAGGCAGAGAGGCAGGCAGAGAGAGAGAGAGAGGAGGAAGCAGGCTCCCCACTGAGCAGAGAGCCTGATGCGGGGCTCGATCCCAGGACCCTGGTATCATGACCTGAGCCGAAGGCAGAGGCCCTAACCCACTGAGCCACCCAGGCGCCCCTGAACTTGGTTTTAATATTATATAAATATTTGCCCCTATACATCTCCAACCTTGTCTTTATATTATGATCATAGATTATATATGTATACATTGTATGCACATTAACATAGATCTATAATATTGTATTACGAATTCATCTTGTAAATCTTTTCTGAAAAAAGAGAAGTTACAAACTAAACCAAGAGTATAGTAATACTGGCTTTTATAATTTATCTGTGTGGTTACCTTTATGAGTGTTCTTTATTATTTTGGCTCTGAGTTACTATCTAATGTACTTTAATTTCAGACATTATAGTTGCTTAAGGATAGGTCTACTGCTAAGAACATCCCTTAGCTGCTGTTTGTCTAGAAGTGTTTTAATTTTTCCCCATTCTGAAAGACAGTTTCAACAGATACAAAAAAAAAAATTTTAAGATTTTATTTATTTATTTGACATAGAGAGATCACAAGTAGGCAGAGAGGCAGGCAGAGTGAGAGGGGGTAAGCAGGCTCGCCATTGAGCAGAGAGCTTGATGCGGGACTCGATCCCAGAACCCTGGGATCATGACCTGAGCTGAAGGCAGAGGCTTTAATCCACTGAGCCACCCAGGTGCCCCCAAAATTATTTTTTTTAAAGATTTTATTTATTTGTCAGGGAGATGGAGCATAAGCAGGGGGAGAAGCAGGTGGAGGGAGAAGCAGACTCCCTACTGAGCAAGAAGCCCAGTGTGGGACTCAATCCCAGGATCCAGGGATCACAACCTGAGCCACAGGCAGACACTTAACCAACTGAGCCAGCCAGGTGTCCCAATAGATACAGAATTATTGATCAGCAGGGTTTTTTGCAGAATTTTTTTTAAAAGATTTAATTTATTTATTTATTTGACAGAGAGACAGATCACAAGTAGGCAGAGAGCCAGGAAGAAAAGGGGGAAGCAGGCTCCCTGCCAAGCAGAGAGCCCGATGCGGTGCTTGATCCCAGGACCCTGAAACCATGACCTGAGCTGAAGGCAGAGGCTTATCCCGCTAAGCCACCCAGGTGCCCTCAGAATTTTTTTTTTAAGATTTTACTTATTTATTTGACAGAGATCACAAGTAGGCAGAGAGGCAGGCAGAGAGAGAGGAAGGGAAACAGGCTCCCTGCTGAGCAGAGAGCCTGATGCAGGGCTCCATCCCAGGACCCTGGGATCATGACCTGAGCTGAAGGCAGAGGCTTTAACCGACTGAGCCATCGAGGTGCCCCCAGAATTTTTAAAATATGTAATTCCACTGCTTTCTGGCTTCTATAGTATCTCAGGACAAATCAACTGTTAATCTTACTAAGGCTCCCAGGTACCTGACTAGTCCCTCCCCTTGCTGCTTTCAAATTTATCTCTTTGGGTTTTGACTACTTGACTCTAATTTGTCTTCATGGGAATTTCTTTGAATTTATCTTGCTTAGGAATTTGTTGAGACTCTTGGACATGTATATTCATCTCCTTCCTAACTTTGGGAAACTTTGGGCCATTATTTCTTTACATATTTCTCCTACTTCTTTTTCTCTTTTCTTTCTGAGATCCCTACAATGCATTTATTGATTTGCTTGATGACACTACAGTTCCTTCGGGATCTGTTCATTTATCTTTGGTTTCTTTTCTTTTCTTTCTATTCCCAAACAGGATACATTCAATTGTCTTATCTTCAAGTTTGCTGATCCTTTCTTCTTCCTGTTCAAATATGCTTTTGACTCCTCTAGTGAGTTTTTCATTTCAATCATTGTACTTTTAGCTCCAGAATTTCTATTTCATTCCTTTAATAATGTCTACCTTTTTATTGATATTCTCATTTTATTTATATACCATTTTCCTGATTTCTTTTAATTTTTCTGTCTATGGTTTTCTTTAGTTCATTGACCATATTTAGGACAGTAGATTTTATGTCTTTGACTAATATTTCCAATGACTGGGCTCCTTCAGGGATGGTTTCTGTCAGATATAGCTCTGTCAGATATATCTCTGACAGATATTTCTGTCAGATATATCTCCCTGTGAATAGGCTATGCCTTTCTATTCATCTTTATGCTTTGTAATTTCTTTGTTCAGAACCAGACATAATGAATATTTTATTGTGTTAGCTCTGGGAATATAATTATTTTCTTCAAAGATTGTTGAATTTTGATTATTGAGATTTGGAGCCATCTGTTTGTGACTTTTCTAATAATTTTTGCAAAAACTGTATTCCCAACTCTGTGTGGTCACTGAAATTTTTATTCTGTTATTTCTAAGGTCAGCCAGTTACCAGCCAAAGATTTTCTTAAATGCCTGGCTCCCAAAAGGGGGAAAAAAACAAGTACAGTTTCTGTAAATCCCTTGGAAATCACTTCAGTTGGAAGGAGTTGAAGAAAAAATGGCAGCCCGTCTCTGTATCTTCCCCTCAACAATGAAAAGCAGCACTCAGGGTGCCTGGGTGGCTCAGTGGGTTAAAGCCTCTGCCTTCTGCTCAGATCATGTTCCAAGGTCCTGGGATCGAGTCCCACATCGGGCTCTCTGCTCGGCAGGGAGCCTGCTTCCTCCTCTCTCTCTCTCTGCCTGCCTCTCTGTCTACTTGTGATCTCTGTCAAATAAATAAATAAAATCTTAAAAAAAATGAAAAGCAGCACTCAAAAATCACAACACATAACCACAATATTTGAAGAACAATGCTCTTATTGGCCATCCTGGTTCCAGCAAGTTTTACCAGGAACATGGCCAGAAGTATCCATGGCTCCCAGCCATGATGAGGTGTGGGGAATGGTAGCCACTGAGTGGGAAAGTTGAAACTCACTGGGATTAAGTGAAATTTACTAACCTCTTCATTAAGTTATCCTTGGATGCTACAAGACTCCAGAGTTCCAAAACAATTACTTGAAGAAGTTTCTGCTAGCTCAATAGTTGTACAGATTTAGGTAGAGATTCCAGGAGCTACTGCTGCTTTTCATTGCTGAGGAGAAGATACAGAGATGGGCTGCCATTTTTTCTTCAACTCCTACCAACTGAAGTGATTTCCAAGGGATTTACAGAAACAGTACTTGTTTGGAGGGGCCTTTTTATTTTAATTCTAGGTAAAACTATTTTCTTACCAGTTCCTGGATGGTTTCAACTTGAACAAGATCAGCACCACGTGAGTCACAAAACCTCTGGCTGAATGTCCAATTCTTGAAGTCATCAGAAAAATAGAAACACTTTCTTTGGAAACCAATCCAGCTTTCTGGGCATGCAGCTTCAAGACACTCTGATGACATCTGATGCAATTTTCTACCGGTTACTAAAAATAAAAACAACTTGCTTTTATATTTTCCTATATATTACCAAGTGCTTTCTAATACACTTTTCAATGGTCATGTGAAATACTAAATGTATTGTCCTTCTTTTTCAAATGAGGAATAGAATTCTGAAAGTCATTGCATACACTACATAATAAATGTCAAAGCAAGGTTCAACTAATGTCTTAGTGGGTCGATGGAAAAAAGAATTAATAATGCCTTAAACTCTGGACTACTGTTACCTTTTCTTAATGCTGGGTAATCAATAGCAACATTTTATCAGCCTTAGAAAGCATATAGTTCAAGAGCTCTAGGTTCTTTCCTAAATAAAATGAAGGGCAGGGTGTAGATATCTTTTATGAATAAGGTTTCTTCAGATGAAATCACCAGATATATGTCTAAATAGTCCTATGATGATAAAGTCAGTGATATCATAGGGAATAATGGAAAATAACAGCCCCACAGTCCTATTCATAAGTGACTATTGGATTATTGAAAGGCCAGAGAGGTCTATATTTTGTAAGACACCATGTTTTTGTGGTCCTCTCTTCTTTCTAATATCATCTCAGCCTATGTCCTCACTAATATATTGTTTAAAATTACTGAATTCTTGGCCAATATTCAAACATAAACAAAATTTCATAAATCTTATACACTCAGCTTATACAGCTCTATTTTGATGTGTCCTCCATAAGGATCTGCACACAATACCTTTGAAGTAATTTTAGTTGAAAATGTAATTTCAATTATATTGTACACCTGAAACTAATATAATGTTATATGTCAGTTATAGCTCATTTTCCACATATCCTTAATCCAAAGAAAATTTTTTAAAAAGAAAATGTAATTTGAGAGTAAATTTATATATAAAATATATAAAGTATATAATTACGTTTGTAAATAAAATATATGAGTGTATATATATATATATATATATATATGTATGCCTGTAGAGTAAAACTACATGATAAAAGACCTAGCAATAATATAAATTAAAGCACAATAAGGTTGGAAACTGGGTTCTAAATTATGCAGGCTCTGGTCCTTCTATTAAGCTTGCAATAATATGACCTCTATATTACACAATTAAAATCAAAGACCCAACTTCCAAGGTAATTAGAATTTAACTCATTGAAATTTTTAAAAATTAGGAAGTGTAAAGAACAGGAAAATTACCTATAAGTCCTCTCTTCTTTTGGAAAGTGGACTTCTCTAGATGAACAAAGATTACAATTCACTTACCTAAAAAACCCACTAGTATTGCAATCACTGTAATTATGAGCAATATGATTATGGATAAAACCAAGACTTGATTCAGAGTATTGGTAATAGAATGCTTCCTTGGATGCAGATTACCTGGAAAAAATATAATTGAAAATGTGTTTTTGTTTTTGTTTATATTAATGCAGAATAGACATCAGACTAGTAGAAGAACTAACCATCAAAATGCTACTTCCACTTCATTCCTTTCCACTAGAGGGGGCAATTGTCCTGTTATTTTGTGAATTTACACCGTCAATTAAAAAACATTCTACGTAATTCTACGTAATTAATTTTCTTGCATCTTAATGAAAAAAGTGAAAAGCAAATTTTAAAAAGCAATATGGGGGAATCTTTTGATTAAAATGGACTTAAAAGGCTTTTTTTTTTAAGTCAAAATTAAAGTGAGATAATTATTCTCCTAAAAGTCAATTTAGTTTGATTCAAGAGAATACCCGGTGGGCCTCTGAACTTGGTAGCAAGCTTCTTTGTCTGACAAAGACAGTATTTAATAAGGATGCTCAACTTAGAATAATTCATTAAGCTGTGTATTTGTTTTGTACAATTTTCTACATTTGCATTGTAGCTCAAAACATTCTACATTATCTAAAACCTCTTGTAAATTTTTTAAGCTTTTATTTATTTACTTATTTGATAGAGAGAGACACAGCCGAGAGAGGGAGCAGGGGGAGTGATAGAGGGAGAAGCAGTCTTCCCACTGAGCAGGGAGCCCCATGCAGGACTTGATCCCAGAACCCTGGATCATGACCTGAGCCAAAGGCAGACGCTTAAGGACTGAGCCACCCAGGTACTCCTAAAACCTCTTGTAAATTTTAAAATCATGTAAAATTTAAATCATTGGAACTTCTGACTCCATCTCTTGGCTACCACACACTCTCTTAGCTACTTCATCTAGAGATGTTCTTGGCTAAACAGGCATATTTCTCTGTAACATTCTATCCACACTAGAGGCATCAGGGTGGCTCAGTTGGTTGGGTGACTGCCTTCAGCTCAGGTCCTGATCCTGGAGTCCTGGAATCGAGTTCCGCATTGGACACCCAGCTCCATGCGGAGTCTGCTTCTCCCTCTGACCTTCTCCCCTCTCATGCTCTCTTTCACTCTCTCTTTCTCTCTCTAAAATAAACAAATAAAATCTTTAAAAATATATTGTATCCACACTAGAAAGCTTTTCATTAACGTTTACCAGATTGACCACTGGTTGATATACATGCAGGAAAAATGTGAGTAACCCTACAAAGGATCCAAAAAGTGAGCTGACTTTGGAATCTAAGCAGACAGAATGCATGAATTTAGCCAGAGTAATTGCCTGCTAAAACCAAAAATTTAAATAAAGTCAAAAGTCTCACAACAAAATATTCATTCAAAATGTCCAGAATACAGTCCAAGATTACTCAGCATATGAATAACCATGAAAATTTCAACTTCCATGGGTAAAAACAATCAAGAGAAACCAACGGTGAGATGACACAGATGTTGGAATTATCTGACATATACCTCAAAGCAGCTGTTGTAGAAATACTCATAGTACCAAATGATAAAGAAATAAATGAAGTCATTTAACGATAATTAGGAATCATCTTTTCCTCATCTGATGCCTTCTCCCTAAATTGATTACTACTTCTACCAAAGACAAAAATATTTTTTTTCAGTCCTAAATTACGACACTTCAATTTTCCCCAACTGGTACCAAATACTTTTTTTTTTTTCACTTATTAAGTCATCATATAAAGCCTCAAATACAAGGGCTTTTTTTTTTAAGATTTTATTTATTTACTTGACAGAAAGAGATCACAAGCAGGCAGAGAGGGAATTGGCGGGGGAAGCATACTCCCTGCTGAGCGGAGAGCCTGATGTGGGGCTCTATCCCAGGACCCTGAGATCATGACCTGAGCCAAAGGCAGAGGCTTAACCCACTGAGCCACCCAAGCGCCCACAAATACAAGTGTTGTTGTTTTTTTTTTTTTTTTTTTGAGTTTCAAGCTTTGGGGGCGCCTAGGTGGCTCAGTGGGTTAAAGCCTCTGCCTTCAGCTCAGGTCATGGTCCTGGGGTCCTGGGATCAAGCCCTGCATCAGGCTCTCTGCTCGGTGGGGAGCCTGCTTTCCCCATGCCCCCTGCCTGCTTCTCTGCCTACTTGTGATCTCTGTCTAATAAATAAATAAAATCTTAAAGGTTTCAAGCTTTGTATAAGTGCATAATATATATGATTACATATGTATATTTACATATTTTCTTTTTATTGTACAAAGTAAGATAATTCTATTTGAATGCTCAATTGCTTTTCCTTTGACTTCTGTTTATGTTTTTTATTTGTTAAACTCTTTATTTAACCTTTCTTTTTAAATTCTTTCCTATGAGATTTCATTATAGATTTTTTTATCTTACTTATTTTTAAAGATATTATTTATCTTTAAAAAGATATTATTTATCTTTAAAAAGATAAATTCAGCAAGGAGTCTGCTTCTCTCTTTCCCTCTGCCCCTTCTCCCAGCTTGTGGACTCACTCTCCTTGCTGAACAGGGAGTTGGATGTGGCACTCAGTCCCAGAATCCTGAGATCATGGCCTGAGCCAGGGCAGACACTTAACTGACTAAGCCACGCAGGCATCCCCCTTTTTGCCTTATTTAATAATGATAATACCATGTGTCAATATAACACTTTCAACTAAGCCATGCAGGCGTCCCCCTTTTTGCCTTATTTAATAATGATAATACCATGTGTCAATATAACACTTTCAACTATGTATTACCCTTTTCAGTAAAATTATTTTTAATAATTAATAAGTGTATAATAAATTAAATTTATATTCATAATAATATGAATAAATATTTAAAATAATAACTAGAATTAATATTAATATTGTTGATAAAATAATGTTAATGAATAATTTATAATAAGTAATGAATTTATTTAGTTAAGAAGAGAGAGACAGTCTTAAACAGACTCCATGCAGAAACTGGAGCCCAATGTGGGGCTCCATTTCATGACCCTGACACCATGACCTGAGCCAAAATCAAGAGTCGGGTGCTTAACCAACTGTACCACCCAGGGGCCCCTCAGTAAAATTAATTTTATTAATGTTTATTAATTTTTAATTTCATCATTTAATGTTTAATTTAATATTTTGAATTTTAATATTTAACAGCTGGTTGATGGGTTATTAATAATATTAATATCAATAAAATAGTATGTGTTTCAATGACATTAATTTTTAAATATTTATTCTCAATCATAAATTTAACCTGACCCCCATTCTCTTACAACTTTCCCTAATAGTTCTCTCTCCTTACTTGTTAGGATAAGTGCACTTAAGTAACTGCATAGTTTTACACAAATTATAAACTAATTTATAACCTTCAGCACTCCACCTCTCATCCTTGAAGAGTCCCTGTGCAGAAACTAGATCCCATCACTGCTATAATCTTACCACCTCAGTGCCCACATTCTTGACATACAGTCCAGCTTCTTACTTGAGTCTGCCAACAGTTCCACTGGTTCACAATCTTTCTTTAATCGATTGCCGTCATGCATTTTGTGCTCAGTTTTTACAGAATAGCTCACTCAGTAGGCAATTTCATCTCCAGAATGTGACAAAAACGAGAAAAACTCACATTCTGGTTAGAACTTCCTCTAACTGAAGCTTTGGCTTTGGTTATACATGACTAAAAAGGAAATAGAAAGAAACGATGCCGAAAACCGCTTGCTACAGCAAATGCCTCTTTTGGTTCTCAGCATAAATTTGGTAACTCTCAACTTGTATGTCGGCAGAAGTAAGTATAAATTTTCAGGTTTATCCTATTTTGCATTTTTTCATGATTTTGTTGTCAAAGAGGGCAGAAAGTAAACCTTGATAAATTTCACATTATCTTGGAATTCCCACACAGATGACAGAACTAATAATGATACTTTTACTATTATTCTCATGGTGTGATAACATAAAACTATGGTTTATTGTCCCTTACCATGATACAGAAGTATGGATGAAAGACTTAAATATGTGTTCTCATTTAATTGGTCCAACTAAATAATGAGGCTAATATTACTACTTTTATTTTAAAATAAGCTTCTTGAGTAAAGACTAATTTGTCTTTAAGTTCACAGATACTGACAGACTACTTTGATTTAGAAATGATTCTAAATCATTTAGATTGATTTAGAAACTACTTTGAAAGTTTAAGACCCTACATAGTCAGTAAAGGTCAAATGTTGATTCCCCTGACTCCTCTGACACTTATGAGTCAGTCATACACTCATAAAATCTCAGTTTCTATTCCTGAAACAGCTCCTCACTATGAGGAAAAGAAACAGAAAAATTAGCTCTTACAGTCATGATGATGTGTTAGCTGAACAAAAGTGTGAGGCTGAAATGGCAGAAGGGCTCCAGTTGAAGGGAACTGTGTTCATCTATGCCCAAAGAGAAGAGAACGTGGAATGTAGCTGAGAAACCTCCTGATATTTAAGATGGCTGGAACACAAACTGTGAAGGGTGAAATGTGAGAAAATAACTTTCTAATTAACTCTATACTAAACTGTGAATTTCATGACTTCTAAGCCCTAAGATCCTGTTCACTATTTTATGAAACCCTGTGCTGACACCATACTTAAGATACACTGGCATGTTTTTTACATGGTGAAAGGACAGAGGACACAGAGAGCTATTTTAATTTCACTTAGGAAAAGGATTTTTCCTTTTCTGAAACAAGATTTTTTTCTAAAATTAGGCATATATTTAAGAGACAGAAATAAGTGACTAATTATCTGTGAAAATAAAAAAGTCCCTTCAGGGCTATTACTAGTCAATAGAAGGAACTACTCCAAATGACTAATGTAAAAGTAATTTTAGGGACACCTGGGTAGCTCAGTTATTAAGCATCTGCCTTCGGCTCTGGTCATGATCCCGGGGTCCTGGGATCGAGTCCCATGTCAGGCTCCTTCCTCAGCAGGGAGCCTGCTTCTCCCTCTCCCACACCCCTCCTTGTGTTCCCTTTCTCACTGTGTCTCCCCTCTCTGTCAAAAAAATAAATAAAATCTTTTTAAAAAATAAATAAATAAAATAAAAGTAATCTTACCAGATTTTGTTTTGTTGAAACACATCACTGATAAAAAAAAATTATACAAAACAGCAAAATCTCATGAAAATTATTTAGTCTTACTTGACCTTTGCCCCACTTTTCTTGGTCTTTCTTCTGGTTTCAGATAACACCATTTCCCTCAAGTGCAGAACACTGGCCAGAGATTTTTCTGATAGTCCAGTGCCTACGTTTAAATATTTTGAATATCAATGTTTCTTCAAGGGTAGGAGAAATGGTGCGTTTCATCCTAGTGCATTATGCTAGGCTCTGAGAGAAGTGAGGGAAGCCTGCTAGGCAAAGCAACTATTGTTAAGTAGCTCAGCAAAGGAAGTACCCTCTTCAGGAAGCAAACACACTGAGCATAAGTAGTCAGTGATGAATTGCAACTGGACTGAAAAATGACTGTACACAGGAACAGCTACACAGACATGCTGTCTGTCCAGCAGAAGATCTCCATGCTCAAAAGGGCTTCCCACTTGTTTAATATGCTGCCATCAATGTCTTCAGATTATTACTACTATTTAAACAAGACACTCTGTGTTTTTATTTTGCACTTCACACTGCAAATTAGTGGGTCCTGACTCTCTGTGCATGAAAGAGGTGAATTAGTTTTGACCTCACCTAACAGAGCTTCCATTTTTTACTTAAATGGGTTTATTAAATTTTCAGATTATTATAAAGTCATATGTGGTTATGAGAAATCTTACAGAAAGAACCCATGTTCCCTTTAGCCAGTTTCCCTGAGAGTAACATTTTAAAAAACTACAGTATGTTTGGTTTCCATGTCTTTGCTTAGTAAAAATCTCACAAACATTAAATCACCAACCTCATACAGTATTTATATATACACATTCACACATATAGAAAAGGAAATTGAGCCAACCCTAAAATAAAATTGAATCAAGAAGAATGCATTAAAATTGATTAATTAACTAACCAATTAATTAAAGCTACAGTACGATATCACAGCCAAGATAATGACATTGACACTGTCAGCATACAGAACTATTCCATTACCACATGGTTCCATCAGCAGGGCTTAACACCAGAAACTTTAAAAATCAGCAGGCTTGGCTCTGAGAGAGCCTGAGGGTGATGAGAAACTGTGTCCCAAACCTCAAAGAAACAGTATAACAAACAAGCCTGCCTAAGTATAGCATAAAAGCAGCATTTTGAAGAGCATATGGGGTACACAGGAAGATGTATTTCTTAGTCTCAAAGCATATACAAGAGGGACAGATACCTTTGGGAGACTTCTCCAATAACAAAGGAGCTGGGTGGTGCCATTTCTCTCCCCTGCCCACTAGCCTATATACACAGATACCTATGGGAATCAGTCCAAACACTCTCCACCTAGCTTTGCTAACAGTGTGCCCTGTCCCTGCATTCTCTTGAAAACTGCACCATCCAACCATCCCAATTCAGCAGAGTCCCTCTAAAGTGGCTGCTGGTCTTATCCTGCAAACATCCTCAACAATGACCAGCACCACTCCACAGTGACCTGCCCTGAGAAGAGGGTAAGATAACCACACACACCGGTATGACTATAGCTCCAGAAATGGGCTGAGGGCAGGCATCTAGTCCGACCCAACACCAGCCCAAGGTGGCCTAAGACTAACCTCTTAACAGCACAGGGACCAAACTCTGCCTATAATAGACAAAGAGAGCATTGCAGACAACTGGAATGAAAGCAAAAACATCTCAACCACAACAGAAGGGCACATACAACACACTTAGGAGACACCCCTGACACACCAAGTTCTGATGCACAAGGAACGTTGCACTACAGGGCATTACTAAAGCTCTTCTTCATAAGCCCACTATTTTTAAGAGCAGGTGATATAGCCAACTTTCCTAACACATAGAAACAGACACAGAGAAATAGACAAAATGAGGAGACAGGGGAATGTGTCCCATATGAAAGAACAGGGCATAATCACAGAAAGAAAAAAAAAAAAAAACTAAGCAAAACAAAGACAAGCAATATGCCAGATAAAGAATTCAAAAGGTTGGTCCTAAAGATACTCACTATACTTGAGAAAAGAGCAAAAGAGCCAATGAGACCTTCAACAAAGAGACAGAAAAGTCAAAAAGAACCAGACAGAGATAAAGAACTCAATAACTAAAATTAAAAATACCCTAAAGGGAAAAATGTACACTAAAGAGAGCAGAAGAACATATCAAGGAGCTGGAAGATAAAGTAATGGGAATGTATCAAGCTGAACAAGGAAAAGACAAAAGTAATAAAAAATATGAATATGTTAAGAGAACTCAGCAATGTCATCAAGCATAATAACATTTGCATTATAGAGATCCCAAAAGGAGAAGAGAAAAGAGGCAGAAAATATAACTGAAGAAATAATAGCTGAAAACCTCCCTAATCTGGAGAAGGAAACAGAAACCCAGATCGAGGAAGCACAAGAAAGCCTAAGAAAAATCAACCCAAGGACATCCATACCAAGACACACAATAATTAAAATGGCAAAAAGTAGTGACAGAGAATTTTTAAAGCAGTGAGAGAAAGGAAAACAGTTACATACATAGAAGTTCCACGAGACTGTTAGCTGATTTCTTAGCCTTTCACGAGGCCAGAATGGAACGGCATGATATATTCAAAGTCCTCAGAGTAAGAAACCTGTAGTTAAGAATACTCTGTCCAGCAAAGATATCATTCAGAATTGAAAGGGTGATAAAGGTTTTCCCAAACAAATTTAAAGGAATTCATCTCCAGCTTTATAAGAAATGTTAAAGGGGATTCTTTGGTTGGAAAGAAAAGGCTCCAATCAAGAGTAAACAAATTTCAGAAGGAAAAAATTTCATAGGTACATACAAACATGACAAAAGTAATAGATGAATCACTTATAAAACTAGTACAGAGGTAAAGCATAATAATAGTAAAATCAATTATATCTAAAAAAAATCAGTCAAAGGATTCAAAAAATAAAAAGGCATGACAAAATAAAATGTGGGGGTGGAGAATTTAGTGCTTTTAGATTTTAAGTGACAATCAAACTAATATAGACTGCTATACGCATAGGATATTACATATAAACCTATTGGTAACCACAAATCAGAAACTTGTAATAGATAAGCAAAAATAAAGAGAAAGGAATCCCAGCATATCACTATAGAAGGCCATCAAATCCTAAGGGAAGAAAAGCAAGAGAAAAAAGGAATAGAGAACTACAAAAACCACCATAAAATGAGTAACACAATGGAAATAAGGACATACTTAACAATAATTACTTCGCATGTGAAAGGATTAAATACTCCAATCAAAAGATATAGGTGACTGAATAGATACAAAAGAAAGATGCATCTATATGCTGTCTACAAGAGACTCATGGTTTTGCACCATACCATTAGGTCTATGATCCATTTTGAGTTGATTTTGGGGAAGGGTGTTAGGTATGTGTCTAGATTGTTATTCCATCCCTTCACTTTCAATCTGCATGTGTCTCTAGATCTGAAATAACACTCATGGAAGATAACATAGAAGAAAACCTAGAATACCTTAGATATTATATGATGTCTTTTTAGATACAACATCAAAGACACAATTCTTGAAAGAAATAATGGATAAGCTGGATTTTATTAAAATTAAAAATTTTTGCTCCACAAAAGGCAATAACAAGAGAATTAGAAGAGAAGACACAGACCAAGAGAAAAAACTGACAAAAGACATATCCAGTAAAAAACTGGTTTCCAAAATACACAGAAAACACTTAAAGCACAATAATGAGAAATAAACACCTCAATTAAAAATGGGTCAAATCGGACACCTGGGTGGCTCAGTGGGTTAAAGCCTCTGCCTTTGGCTCAGGTCATGACCTCACGGTCCTGGGATCAAGCCCTGCATCAGGCTCTCTGCTCAGCAGGGAGCCTGCTTCCCCCTCTCTCTCTGCCTGCCTCTCTGCCTACTTGTGATCTGTCGGTCAAATAAATAAATAAATAAAATCTTTAAAAATAATAATAAAAATAAAATAAAAATAAAAATGGGTCAAAGACCCTAATAGACAGCTCACCAGAAATACATAGATGAAAAGTAAGCATATGAAAAGATACTGCCCATGACATATCATCAGGGAAATGCAGATAAGAATACCAATGCAATTTCATGACACATCTATTAGAATGGCCAGAATCTGGAACAACACCAAATGTTTGCAAAAATATGGAGCCACAGAAACTCTCATGCATTGCTGGTAGGAATGCAAAATGATACTGTCACTTTGGAAACAGTTTGGTGGTTTCTTATAAAACTAAATATATTTGGTCCATATAATTCAGTAATCATGCTCCTTGCCAAAGAAGCTGGACTCTTATGCCTACATAAAAATCTGCACAAGGATGTTTTTAGCAGCCTTATTCATAATTGCCA